CAACACCAAGGGTTGCGATCCCGTTGGCGGTCCCCGGTACGGGCGCAACACCAAGGGTTGCGATACCGTTACCGGTCAGTAAAAAAGAAAAAAAAAAAAAAAGAAGTATTTCTATGAATATAAATTTAATTCTGTCTCTTGACTCTGGACACTGGAAATTTGTTTAGTGTCTTTGAGCTTTACTTTCACCAATAAAATTAGAGGGTTGACCAAGTATTTTATAATGGTTCTCTTGGTTCTTATATTCTTTGACTTTGATAGACGGGTGAAGGAAAGAGTAATAACAAATATATACCCAAATTAAGAAAATTATTAAAGGCTGAATTGTTTTCATAAAGATCTTAAAATGCAAAACTATGGTCATCTTTCTGAAATGAGTCTCCTCTCTTTAGGGGGAGACTGTGAAGATAGGATTCATCCAAGATTGAGTTTTTGTTGCTATCAGTTGTGAAAACCCCCTTTCTTCCTTGATTTCTATGACATTTGTATTGAAGCAGTTTAGGAACAATATTTCCACATATCTGATTATTTGCTTTATTTAAAAATGTAGAAGAAGTTAAGACGGTTATTTGCTAGAACATTTTGTCTACTGATAGACACCTTTGAAAGCCCTGTCTGCCCTGGGTTACTCACTAAAAAGACTTTGCCTCTTCACCTCTATGAAGAATAATTTGAAAGAATACATTTTCTTTTGTCCCTTTGCTTTGGCCTTTCTCCCCCACTGAGTTTTTTAATTTATTCACTGTTCTTGATTATAAAGCCTTTCAGTTTAGCCAAATGAAATTACATTCTCTGTTATCTAATTTATTTTGTAGCTATTTTAAGGACTTCCAAAAGACACTTCAATGTCTGGCTGGTGAAAAGGAAAAATTGATCTTAATTTGAGCATAGTGGGCAAGTTAGCAACTTGTAGCATATATACTCCTTATACATATCTCTTTACTATGTTGCCTAATATTCTGTGCTCTGAAATTCTCCTTTTTTTAATCCTAATTATATCCATTTTGTAAGAAGTTAATGATGTAACTTTTTAAAGGATTGAAAAGTGGGAGCCATAGTTTATTTTCCTTTTAAAGATGCTCTGAGTACTGGGGTTTCCTTTCCCTGTACATCCAACTACTTGTAAAATCTTTCTTATTTTATACTTTATATATTCCATGAATTTGTCCTCTCAGTCAGCAGTATGCTAATTACCCCTAAGCTGTCCATTTTATCAGTAGGCACATTGCAGGAACATTTTAATTTGTCTCTTTGACTCAAGCATAAAGCTACTCTGTCACTATTGCTGCTTTCCAAAATATACTAAAGATGTCTCCCACTTCCTTATTACTCTTTAGTGATTTCTCATCACCCAGAGCAATGGTTCTCAAAAATTAACGTGCATGAGAATCACTTGGGGATTTTTAAAATTTAATATGTCTGGAGATTCTCATACGTATTGTTCCTGGACCTCACACTTTGAGAAACCCTGGCTCATAGCTAATGTGCCAGCCATTGAGCTCATACCACATTGCTAGGCACTGATCTAATAAGTATGTTTTGTTTGCTGTTTCATTTAATTCTCCCAACGTCTTGTGAGGTAGAAGCTGTTTCCCATTATATAGATGATGCCATTAAGGATAAAATAAATCCAGGCTTGATGTCATGGCCTGCCAGTGTCCTGACTGCTGTCTATCTCTGTAACCCCTTTGGTTGTCACTCCTTCCCGATCCTTTACGCTGCAAATCCAGTGATACTGAACTGCATGTTCCCTAAAAATATCATCTCTCCTCATCTCATATATCTGTACTTTTATATTCCTGTTTCCTAAAGCTTCCTTCCCCTGGCCCTTTCTTTACTTACAAAATATTTGACTCATCTCTCAAGACCTTCCATTTTAGGAATCATCTTCAAGAAGTCTTTTCTAAATACAAACACTAATTAGATTAACTGACGCTTCTATTTTTTTCAGAACATTCTGTGCATACTTCAGTCATGGGACTTACCATATTGTCTAGAAGTTATTTGTCTTTTTCTCTTCTCCTTAACTCCTGACTGAAGCTTCTTTGAGGGTAGAAACCTGGAGATTTTCCTTTGTAACCTCATCCTATATCACAGTATCCCACATAAAGTAGGAGCTCAGTAAAGTATCTCTGTGTACTTTTTGAAAGTAACTGTGGCTGGATTACGTTCACCTATGTCAGTCTTCCATGTTGTATTAGGATAATGGAGACAGATTTGTAGAATTTCAAAATACCCAGAACCACTAAAATTTAATTATGGTGGGAGATAATTTTATTGTGTTAAGGTAGTTAAGTGGTAAACTTATAAATTATAAGTGAAAAGTGAAGGAGATGAATCTGTATGGAGAATCATAGAATTTTTAATTTAAAATCCTATAGGTTGAGATTAGACTTCTAGAAAGTATATGATCCATTTTACTTCTGTTGTAATTTGCTTTCTAAAAATTTTTGTCTTGTCTTTGCTTATTTGAAAATGGTGTCACTATTCCACTTCTGTTTTTAATGTGTACATGAATATTTAATAAATAGGGATTTGAAAACTTAGTAATATCTAAAGCCAAACTAGATAGAAACAACTTGACATGGTGGGTGGGCCCTTCCTTGACTCTTCATGCCCTAAGGCCAATTGCTGGATAGTAAACAGGAGTCTTTCTTATTTTAGAGCTTATGGAAAAACTGTAAGTAGTTTTAGACTTGACTTTTCTAGCCTTTGTTTTCTTATCAAATGATATGATTAAAATTTTAATTTGCAAATATTGGGTTATCTTAAAGTTTTTTCCTGATGTTTTTTCTAAAAAAAGACAAAGCGCAAGACTAGAATTATACACCTGGCTTTGTATTATTTGGAAATTCTGAATTACTTCATACATGGCATCCATGTGTTTTTCTGTCTTAGGCATGATTTCACGAAACATTGTGTTTATTTTAATAAAAATATTACACAGCCATAGAAACTTATTAGTATAGTTTCATTTGTTTGGCAGGGTCTGCATTTAAAACAGGACAATTTTTAGCTGTTTTCCATTTATTTATTTAGTAATGCTAACCTGTAGGTATAAAGAAGCAGTAAGGACATTTGCTTTATGTCATTTTAGCTGCAGACATTCAATACTTCCTCACCTTGTCAAGATGTCAAACAGCTGACTAATGGAGTTGCCATGGCACAAGTTCTTCATCAGATGTGAGTAGTGGTCAAACTCTGCCTGAAAAGAATTGTAAACCCAATACCAAAGAAGAAAGCCTACACTTGTATTCCAAGGGTTATTGAAACTTTAATCCAAGTCAATGACATAATGCAGGCATATGGTACTACCAAGGCATTCTTGCAACTTAGGGAACAAAATGTTTATGACTTCTTTGTTCCTTGCTTGCTCATAAAGATACACCTGAATTAAATGAATGATCGGGATTCTTGTTTACTCAAGAGATTTTATTTTACACGTGTTCTGGGCATTTTCACAAGATTATAATAACTATAAAAGAAACAGTTTAAATAAATGTATAATTGCATATGTTTCCTTTGGTTGTACTATTGTCATTTTAAGGTATCAATGCATGGAGATTATTTTAGAGATTATTGAAGCATAAAATACTAGATTTGAAGAAATATTAAATTTTAAGATCTTGTTCTAAATTAATAGTAGTAATTTATGAGTATAAGGTATCAATGCATGGAGATTATTTTAGAGATTATTGAAGCATAAAATACTAGATTTGAAAAAATATTAAATTTTAAGATCTTGTTCTAAATTAATAGTAGTAATTTATGAGTACACCAATAATGAAATGATGAATGAGTGAAATTTGAAGTTATACATGCTAGGGAACCTTAACTCATAAAGTGATTCTGTTTGGGCTAGACCCATTTTATATAATTCTATAATATTAAAAGTTCTTATATCCATTATTTCCTAATATTTGCCAAACATTGTACAAGGATTAGGGCAGTGGTATACAATATGAGCTGTACCCTTAATAGGCAGATAGGGCCAATTCTGCACTCATAATTTATTAGTAATCATAATGATTTTGTATTTGCTTACTTTGCGACCAGAATCCCATCTCTGCTTTGTTGTTTTATAGTCAGAGATTGTTTATTTCATTATTATCATCATTTTGAAAAGATTTGCTGTGAATAACATTGAAAACCCTGTAGATGGATTAGCAAAAATCCTATTCCATTCTTAGAAAAATAACTTAAAATGATATCAAAATCCTAGTTACTTGGAATTTACAAAATGGTCTAATTCGAATCAACGGGTTTTACAGTTAACTCAAGATTAACACTTTAAAAGACAAACTTAACATGCTAACTTTTTTTGGTGGGGGGAGAAGGCAGTCATTCTAAAATATGCCTTACTCTCCTGACTTTTAAAAAATATTTCTTAAATGTTTTATTTATTCATATCCCGATTGGTTATAAAATGATTAATTGGTCAGAGCCAAGCTTTCTGAACATGGTCCTTTCTTTATGATTTGGGAAAGTCATCATTGTTTTTTGTTCTTAGAATGCGCTCCTTGCTTTCTCATTGCAATGTGTTGTGGGTATTGGTGTAGATGTAGCTACACTGTAGTTGGTATGGATGTAAGTAAGGGTGGTATGCATTCACTCACTTCAACAGTGCCATCCAAAGATGTCATTTCTATGTTTTGGTGTGCTAGTAGCTTTATGCCACAATATAATGGAAGAGACCTGTTTTTACCATGATGTGATGCACATGGCTCTTTGACCTCCTATACTCTAACACTATACCCGATGTTTAGAGTAGTGTATTAGTCGTTTCTGTTGCTTGTAACAAAATACACAGAACTGGGTGATTTATAAAGAAGATGAAATTTATTGCTTACATTTTTCAGGGCTAGGAAGTCCAAAGTCCACAGAACACATCTGGTGAGGGTCTTGGTGGTGACGTCAGTGACAGTAGGGTATCACATTGCAAAAATGGTGGAGCAGAGAGAGAGAGAGAAAGACAGACTCTCCTCTCTTCTTTTAAAGCCCTCAGAACCACACTCCTGACCACCATTATTAATCCATTCACTACTGCATGGGTCCTACAAACTAATTACCTCTTCAAGGCTACACTTTTCAATTACCATAATAGGTTTTGTCAACCTTTTAACAGTCAGGATGGGAGCTAAGTTTCTAATACATAAAACTTGGGGAACACAATTCAGTGAGTTTTGGGGGGACTAATTCTATCCACTACAAGTAGGGTCAGGTAAATTTTAGCTAAGCTGTATCCTTTATCACCAACTCATTTTTCTACAGTATTTTGCATTCTGCTGTTAGTGCTGATCCTCACTCTGTTTTTTCTATTTTTGTTCTCTCTTTTGTCTTTTATTGTTTAGTAATGGCTTTTCTGCAAGAAGAATAAAATAGCCATACAGTCAGAAAGCTCCCTTCATTAAACAAATGACCATTGACCTAAAATTGGGCCTAAATCTCTTTGGGGGGGGGGCTTTACTTGCCTGTTTTTACATGTTCATGGTGTGTTAGCCTCCTTACCATTCAAGGCTACTGTTAATTTATTTTTTGTTTCTAACTCCCTTCCAGTTTTAGAGCTTTTCAGAAGTCTGGGTCCTGGATAGTAAGACTTAAATCATACATTATAATAATAGATTCTTTGCTAAGTTACTGTAATATTTAAATGAAATAACATGGAAAAACATCAAGCACAGTGCTTGGTACATAGCATTATAATGTTGGTTTTATTTTTTTCTTTCTTTTTTTTTTTTAACCTTTACAGGGTTGGGATTTTTACATCTTCCTGCTAGCGGGGTGCCTAGTTTTAAATATTTAGTAAATGTTTGTTAAATTGAAGGTGTTAGTGACTCAAATAATTTAATATGAGAAATTCCAAATGAAACATTAGGAATTACAAAAAATTCATTTAAATTGTATTTACTATTCTTCTTAAGGGTAGGCTTTAGGATATAAAGTAACTTTCTCTGTTGACTCACTTTGGTATTTTTCATGTAATAAAAACATTTTAATGTTTAGCGTTTGTATTTTTGTTTTAGTGATATGGCTTGGTTCAACGAATCTTGGTTAAGCCGAATTAAAGAGGATGTTGGGGACAACTGGAGAATAAAGGTATGCAGAATGAATGGGATAAGCACATGATCCAAAAGGTAGTCCTAAAATTAGCACCAAACTCAACTACATCTTTTTTTTTTAAATTAACTTATGGGTTCATTTTATTGTGTCCAGTTTGAGTTTTGACACATGTGTATGTTTGTAATGTAACTGCTGTCACAATTAGATATAAAACATGTCTGTCAATCTGAAATATGTGCTTATGCCCCTTTCCAGTTAATCCCTACTTTCAGCCTGGCCCTAGGCAACCACAGATCTGCTTTGTGTCACTATAGGTTTTATTTCTTAAACTCCATGTAAATGGAACCATAGAGTATGTACTCTGTGTCTAGTTTATTTCACTCAGTACAGTGCGTCTGAACTCACCCATGTTGCCTGTATTTTTTTTTCTGAGCAGTATTTTTAGTTTTCTTTTTTCTGAGCAGTATTTTATTACATTGAAATACCATAATTTGTTTAGCTATTCACCTGTTGATGAATGTTTGAATTGTTTCTGTCTTTGGCTGTTATGAATACAACACCAGTGAACATTCATGTATGAGTCTTTGCATAGACATAATTAATTTCTCTTGGGTAAACTCCTGAGTGGAATTGATGAGTTGTTTAAGTAAATGTTTAATCTTATAACAAACTGCCAAACTGATTTTCTATTTTTAAGTTTGTTGTGTCTTATAGGACGTTTGTTTCATATAGGTTGTCCAATGTATTGGCATACATTGTTCTTGATTGTATTATTAGGCTAACAATATGCTAATGACTGTATGATCTTTAGTGATGTTTCCTCATTTTCTCTTTCTTTCCTTATATTCGTAATTTGTGTCTTGCTTATTTTTCCTTGATAAGTCTAGCTAGATGTTTTTCAATTTTACATATTTTTTCAAAGAACTAGCTTTTGTTTCCTATTTCATTGATTTTTCTCTCTTATCTTTATTATTTCCTTTCTTCTACTTACATCTGCTCTTCTTATAGCAGAAGCTTAAATAATCGATTTAAGGCCTTTTCTTCCCCTAATAATAAGCACTGCCTTAACCACATCCCACACATTTTGACATACTGTGCTCTTATTTTCATTCCATTTAAAATATTTGTTAGTTTTCCTTGTGGTTTATTCTTTGACCTATGTGTAAATTAGAAGTAGGTAATTCAAATTCTAAGTATTTGAGGATTTTCCAGGTACGTTTTATTTATTGATTTTTAATCTAATTCCATTTTGGTCTGAGAACATACTCTGTGTTGAGAAATTCTTTTACATTTACTGAGACTTATTTTATGACCTAACGTAAGGTCTTTGTTGGTGAATGTTCCATGTAGGCTTGAAAACAACATGTATTCTGCAGCTGTTGAATAAGTATGGATTATTTTAAATTTGTTGACAGTGCTGCTTTCATCTTTTATATCTTTATTGATTTTCTGTCTAATTATTCTCTCAGTTACAGAGGGAGGAGTCCTTAAATCTCTAATGATGATGGTGGTTTTGCCTGTTTCCCTTTAAATTCTATTAATTTTTACTTCATGTATTTTGAATTTCTCTTATTAGGTGTATTAAACATTATATTTTTTTATATCTTCTTGATGAATGAATCCACTTATCATTATGAAATGCCTTTCTTTATCTCTGATAACATTCCTTGACTTGATGTCTAATTTGTCTGATATTAATGTAGCCACTTTGGTGTTACAATTATTTTTTTCCATTAGTATATTTTTTCCATTCTTTAATTCTGTCTGTGTCTTTATATTGAAAATGTTTTATGTAGACACCTAATATTTGGGTCATACTTTATCAGGTTTAACAATCTCTTTATTTGGTTCTTTTTTTAAAAAAAATCTTCTATTTCTTTCCTTATTTTAATGTGGGTTTTTTTTTGTTAGTTTGTTTTAATTCTCGAATGTTTTTTAATTAGCAGTTTTAACCTTGCCTTCCAATTCTTTCATCTGTCATTTCTGGGCCCGTTTCTTTTGACTGAGTTATCTCCTCATTTGGGTCCACGTTTTCCTGCTGCTTCACTTGTGTAGTAATTTTTTTATGGCATGTTAGACATTGTATTCAGTGCTGAATGTTTTGTATTCCTTGAAAGAGTGTTGAACTTTGTTCCACAAACAGTTACAATACTTGTGAATCAGTTTCATCCTTTCAAGTCCTGTTTCTGGGATTGGTGGGGGGTACAGATCTGAAGTTACTCTTTCCTCTTAAGGCTCGGTTAAATCCACTACTAAGTTGTGACCTTTTGGGGTCTTCAGTGAATGGTTTGTGCATACAGTAGTCTCTTCTGGCTAGTGGGAATTTCAGAACTTTCTGGCCCTCTGTAACCTTTGGGAATTGTTCAGTTTACCAGTTGGCTTTCATCTCCCTATGCATGGTCTGAAATTGCCTTAAGACAGAAATCTTGGAGTAGTGTAGGGCTCATCTTTTTTGTTTTTCTTTTTTTCGGAAAGCAGAGTTCTATATTGCCTGTTGTCTAAAGCTTGACAACAATTGTTCCTTGCATTTCATCCTGTTTTCTAGTTATTTGTGGCAGGAGTGCAAGTCTAAACCCTGTTAACTTGCTCATGGCTGGAGGTGGACATGCTCATAACAAAATCTGTAAAGTGGGCACTTGAATTCATTGTGGCTCACTTTAAATAGACTTGCCCTACTTAATCAAACACTGATTCAATCTCTGATGTTTAAAAGATATCATGTGCCTGTATTTCTAGAACTGTAATGTTTTTGCTATCATTTTTATCCAGGGAAAGTTTTTATTACCTTTCATCTTGGCATAAATTTCCTTTCATTGTTAATATGAAATAAGAATTTATTTGTCATTCTTTTTTTTCACATTAGGCTAGTAATTTAAAGAAGGTCCTTCAAAGAATTGTGAGTTATTACCATGAGGTATGAAAAATATGACTTTGTTTAAATGCAAAATGCTATGATAATTTTATTGACACTGAAAATGACTTGGCTTTTTCTTTATAATGTTTTACTAGAATGTAATTCTTAATTGGAATATATTACTAATTTATTGCCATTTTTTGGAATACTCATTTTGTGAAAATAAACAGGCTTAAGTTTGGATATACTGATTTGTAAAATAAAATTGCTTATGTACTCTTTAAATTGTTTTCTCAAATAGAATTACCTTCATCTTTAATATAATTTGATTTTATGCAATGCTATAAGGTAAACTTTATAATTAGTTGAAGTAACTTGCATTATTTTCACATTTATTTCTAATGTAAGCAATAGCAAAGACAGACTGTGAGATATCACATATTACATAAGAATATTTGGTGTAAAACCAAAAGCAATAATACTTGCTTTTGATTGGTTACTCAAACTTTGGGGAGCTTGCCTGAATATTGCTAAATGGTTTTATCAATAGTTTTCATTTGTCATTTGTTAACTTATCTGAGTCATTTCATGAACCTATTTATAATTTATTTTCCTTGTAATAATTAAATGTAGTAAATTATTTGTCGCCTACATAAATGAGTGGTCTAACTTATTATTTTGATGCTACAGTTTTTAGGGCAGCAGATTTCTGAAGCACTTATCCCTGATTTAAACCAAATAACTGAATGTTCGGATTCTGTGGAGCTTGGGAGGTTGCTCCAGCTTATTTTAGGTTGTGCGGTCAACTGTGAAAAGAAGCAAGGTAAGTGAATTTCAATCATTTGAGAATTTCCACTTTCTCAAAACACCTAGACCTACATTGCTATACAAGGTAGCATTAAGATGTACTGTTACAGCTTGATAGAAAGCACCCTGAAATGTAAACCTGAAGTTCTGAATTCTAGTCCAGCTCTGCCATTAAAAAGCTACATATCTTGAGTATCCTGTTTATACCTGGATTCTGAGATTCATAGTCAGGGGCTAAATTAAGTGTATTTTAGTCTAGTTAGTTTAATTTAAAATATCTAGTACTAGGATTTAGTGGATGTTTAATAAAAATTGTACTTATTCATCTGATATATTATCTGTTTCATGTGTAAAATAAACCTTTAGGTTGATTTAGTTTTTTATAAATAAATACTCAGCTACTAAATTATAATCCAGGCTTCTTCACATAATATTCTGCTCATCTCAGAAGAATGCCTGTCCATTGTATCCTCCAGATAAACAGTCTGATGATATAAATGGAATTGGAACATTATATTGGTATATCGAAAGGTCATTTTTGGTTGCACGTAATGAGTGAAATGATGAACTGAACAGACCCAGATCTCCTTCCCTGGGGGCTTGTATTAGTCTGGGCATTGAGTTTTGATGCTAATATTTTTTGCAAGATTTGTCCAAACTTGGTCTTAGTATATCACCTTTATAAAAGAATGTTGCTAGCTGAAGTTTGCAAATACTTTGAGAACTAGTACCTTAGAAAATACATTTAACATCTAACTAATGAAGAAAGGATACAAGACAGGATAAACTGAATAAGAACAAACTCAGGAAAGAGGAAAATAAAATACATGAAGTCAATTGTAGTTTATCAGTAAGCGAAGACAGGGATTGGGCATCACAAAACTTTGATATTAGTCCATCTTTAGCATTAACTAGCTATTTTTGCCTAGGGCAAGTCAGTACTTCTCTATAGACTTTTATTTCTCACTTATAGATAATGTCAAAGGCTTATGTGTTGGGTTTTTCATAAAAATGACAGGGATTGGGCATCACAAAACTTTGATATTAGTCCATCTTTAGCATTAACTAGCTATTTTTTCCTAGGGCAAGTCAGTACTTCTCTATAGACTTTTATTTCTCACTTATAGATAATGTCAAAGGCTTATGTGTTGGGTTTTTCATAAAAATGAGGGATATTTGCTCATGGAAAGTTTCCTAAATATTTAATCATAAGTTGACAAATATTAATTCATTATAAATCTCGTAATTTTCTGTTATAATTGTGATCCTTTTAATTTTTTTTTTTTTGATTAATGCTTTCTTTCTATTCCATTTACTGTTTATTTATAACTATTTTTTCTAAGTTAATCTTACCAGTTTACCAATTTACAAAGAAACAACTTTTGGCTTAGATTCTATTTTGTTTTTACTGTTTAATTTCTGTTCTTTTATCTTGTTCTTTCTGTTTTCTTGTGAATTAATCAGCTGTTCCTATTCTAAGCTATAATTGATATTTTAAGTTGTAGCTATAATTTTTCCTTAATGTGATGATTTTGTCACATCCTACAAATTTTGATATTATATGTAATATTTTCATAATTTAGTTCTAAGCATTACTAAGCAATTTTTCTCATATTTTTAAAAGAAAATTCAATTCCTGAATATATAAATAAAAGTTTAGCAAGTAGTACATATAAAGAAATAGTTTCATTTTCATTATTTAAAAAATCAGGATTATCTATTTGGATTTTTGTAAGTACGTGTCTGGGTTCTCAGTTTTTAGGTATGAGCAAATAAATGAAAAAACTATTAGTAATTTAATTAAAATTAAAAAACAAAACACATTCAGGATATAAAACAGCTTTCACAGTTTTGCACTTTACAGGGAGAATCGATTTTCAAAATAATTCCAAGGTACTGCAAAAATCTCAATCTTGAAAGAATGAATTAGTTTGGTTAACAATACTCTATCTTGGGGGTAAGAGGATTATTTTTATGAAGGTTTCAGCAGACTTAAAATAATTTATTATCCAGAAAATCCACGTAAAGAAAATCATTCCATTGCCTGTGCATTCTCTAGTTAATTCTTTCCTCCCCAATGGAACTTGTGATCAGTTGCATACCAAAATTTTGTCTAGTTCTTGGCTTTACAAATAAAAAGATCTAGAGAATTTGTAGAAGTTTCCCAGAAGAATCATTAAAACAATAAAAAGATTAGAAAATATTAAGTACTTAAAATTTTTAGAAAATTGTTTTAGCTAGAGAACATACAGTTGGAGTAGATTTAAATCTGTAAATACTCGTATATGAAAAACTTTCATGGTTCCTCATTTCCTGTCAGGACAGAATCACCTTGACTTAATTGCATGAGTGTCTGTGGTGAGATAAAGATCTCTTTGTGGTGAAGCTTAGTGAGTGCTGAGCAGGTATTTACAGGAGGCTGGATAATCCCCTTCTTTGAAAGCCTTCTGGGAATGAACTAAGTAGGTGATAAAATGAAACTTTCTGGGTTTAAGATTAGATAATTATTGTTGTAAAAGTTTTAAGATAATTAAAATTTCTTCCTTTTTCTTAAAAGAAAATTAGAGGGTTTCTTCATTAGGAAAAAAGAAAGCACTTAAAAATATTTATATGAATATTTTCTATTCTGCTTATTTGTTTTCAATGTACATGGTAATGGAAAAATAATGTATTTGCATAAAAGATTATTTGTGGTAAATGAATTTATATTCTATTAATTGGACGGCTAGGGTACTATGGGTAAATAGTAGATTTTTTTCCAATTTGTTTTTTTTTTTTTAAATCATAGAACATATCCAAAATATAATGACACTGGAAGAGTCTGTTCAGCATGTGGTCATGACTGCTATTCAAGAGGTAAGTTATATCCTGTTCACACAAGTATGAAAATTCTAAACCATACTGTAAAAAACATTTTATATAAATTTTATGGTGTCTTTTTTCTTTGCATAAACTTGCCCTTTACAGTGTGTTTACTTAAAAGATCTTCAAGCTCAATTTTAGTATTTCTACATTTTAAAAGTCAGTTGATAAATTAATATTGGCATGTTTCTTTAAACAATATCAACTCAGGAAGAAAACCAAGATAAACAACCTCTGACCAGATGGGAATTTTTATTTCTTCTAATTTTTTCTGCCAATTAGAGCAATCCTTCCTGAGATTTTTAGTTTATATATACCATATGCATTTTCAGAATTTTAGGTCTGTGAGCAAATATGGTGGTACTTTAGGTTTTGTAGCCAGGTAACCTAAATTTAAGGTAGTCTAGTTATATAAGTTGAGCCAGAAGAATTCAGAATTCATGTGGTACAGTGTTAATTCTTAATATCAGGCTAAAAGACTGAGATGAAGTGACGTGCAGAGGACACCTGAGAGACAGTAGAGTAAGGGATTAGTGAAGAAAAACAGTTTGGAAAGGACATGATTCAGAGGGAGATATCATACAGGACTTCAGCAGTTTGTATACTCTGAGTTTGCATTCTTGGTTTAGATTCAAAGCATCACTATAATCTGCCTTTCGTATGCAAAATTTATTTATGGGTTTTTTTCCTATAATTATAACTCATACTTTTAAAATGACTTCTCAAATTAGGAATTTTGCCATATCACTCATTTAAAAGCTGTACTTAAATTGTTAATTTATGCTATATAAGAATTACTTTTTAAAGAATTATTTAATGTGTTTAGTTTTATTCAGTAATACATGTTTAAGAACCTGAATTGTAATTTTCCGGTACACAAGTATTTTGAATATGTCTACATACTGCAAGCACAGTTTACTTATAATTTCCTAATATGCTTGAGTATCACGTTATTTAGATTACACCCGTAATAAAATTTTTATTTGAATAGTGTTCTAAGGATCATCAAATTAAGTCAAGAAAATGCTAAATATAAATTATTATATATCCTTTCAAGTAAATATATTTTACTTCATAAACGTCACATTATTGTAATTAATTTTACTATTTTGATGTCCTAGTTGATGAGTAAAGAAATAGTGAGCTCTCCTACAAATGATGCTGTTGGAGAATTAGAGCAACAAGTGAGTACTTGAGTATGTGAAGAAAATGTTGAAAACAGTGATAATAGTTCCTTTGCCAGTTACTATTATAAGGCTTACATAAGAGATCATATACAAAAATGTTTTCTTCCATGAAATTTAGTGTATTCTGCTATAAGATCCCAATTGAATGTTATTGTGCATTTCTTCATGAATGCAAGTACTGTTGATCTCCAGAGATTTTTGTGATCATGGTTGAAGAGTTGAGTGGCGGCATTGAACATTTCTCTTGACACTTGCAATACATATTTGCCCCATGCTCTATGGCTAAACAATTAAATAGTAGACAGTTATGCAAGTACTGTTGATCTCCAGAGATTTTTGTGATCATGGTTGAAGAGTTGAGTGGCGGCACTGAACATTTCTCTTGACACTTGCAATACATATTTGCCCCATGCTCTATGGCTAAACAATTAAATAGTAGACAGTTAAAAAAAAAACTCTGCCAAGTTTTAATTGATCTAATAAGGTAATAAAATATTTGTCACTGTTGCTGTCCTCTTGTCTGTTGTTGAAGAAATAGCTCAAAGATGCTGTACTCGAGGCTCCTTTCCCTGGTTCTGTTACAGGACTGTTTTACATGGGGGGAAAGACACTTTTTTCCCATGTATACTCCAATCTAGGTTGTAGGGGAAAGGGTAAGAGGAGAGGCAAATGCATGAGGAACTTTTTCTGTTAAATTTTGAGACATCTGTTTTTTCTGAATGTTATTTGTCATCTCAAGAAATATTTCAAATGAAATTTTTGAAATAAAAATTTTGTTTAATAGTATACATGCTGTGTTCTTTGTGAGTTTTTTCTGTGATGAAACTTAACAAGGCCTCCCATAATATTTTTAAAAATATTTCACAAGGATTTACATAAAATTTATTTCTGTGGGACTATAGCTTTATATGTTAATGAGGCAGTGTAAATATTCACACAAAGGCAGTAGATTGACTCATTTGTTACAGGTCAATTTTAAAAGCTATTACTAGTATCAGTGTGTTATGTGTGTTGTGAGAAGAATGTATTTTTCTATTTGTATTAAAACATGACTTACCAAGATTGGGACATTTTATATTTCAGCTTAAGAAGGTGTTGGAAGAACTTCAGGAAGCACTTGCAGAAAAAGAAGAGCTCAGGCAGAGATGCCAGGAACTAGATCTGCAGGTGTGGAAATGTTTAATTAATTAACAGACAAAGTGTTTTGGAGGTGGGTTCATTTCATGGAGGAAGCATTAAAGGATTTGTTATAGGCTTGAATATTCAAGCATGAATTTCATCATTATTTTTCTCCGAGAGTTGAAAATTGCTGGCCTAACTATTTTTTGAGGAAAATCATTCTACTAATTGTAGAATTTCACCTATTTAGATGAGGATTCTGTTTCCTTTTATGTAAAATGGGAAAATTAAAGTATCTATGTATTTCATAGGATGTTTATGAATATTAAATAAGGTAATTTATGGAAGCACTTAGAAGTGCCTGACCCCCAGCAAATGCAAGTGCATGCTCTTTGTCTCTCTGTCTCTCATGTATATATGTATATATGCATATGTATGTATTCAGAAAGTTTGTGGAGAAATAGAATTAAAAGATAGTACGAATCTTTCTGTGAACTTTATATGTAATCTGTCATGCCACATTTGTTTTGCTACCATGTATGTATGTAATTCTTGTGTTCATATGCAGTATATGTTAGTGAAATAAACTTGGCATGAGAGAACATAGTTTGTGGTTAAGCGTATGTACTGTCAAAACAGGCTACCTGTGTTCAGAACCTGGTTGTTACTAGCTGGTTCTGGCCTCTCTGGCAAATTACTTAATTTCTCTATACTTCAGTGTTCTCGTTTGAGAAATGGAGCGGTGACACACCTCTCAGCACTGGACAGATCTAGGCAGCAAATCAACAGAGTAACCATTACTCTTTCAGATGGAAAGAAGAAATCTAGGGTTATCAGAGATGGGGGGTGGAGAGAGGGAGATAGGGAGAGATTGGATAAGGGTCATAAAGAATAAGTACAATTTGTAATTTATATGCTAATAATATCGATTTGATCAACATATGTCAATGTTGAACCCCCAAAATATGATCAATTATGATTCAATATATAAAAAAAGAGAGAGAGAAATGGAGTGATGATAGTATATATCTCCCAGAGTCATTTGTGAGGATTAAAAGAGCTAATATGTAAAGCACTTAGAGCAGGGCCTGGCACATAGTGCCATGTATGTTTGCCTATGTTATTATTGTTACAATGAAAATACGAATGTGAAAGGTATGTAAGAAGTCTTGAAAAAAGTGTACAAATATCCTGTATGTAAATTGCATTTTTTGTTCAAATAATGGGCTAAATAAGTAGTTGACTCGCTGAAAAGTGTTAGGACAAGGAACAGATGTTGTGGTAGTACTATCCTTGCTAAGTGAAGTAGATATCTAAAGTGCTAGCGCTGGATAATATTTCTAACCCCGAAGGGTTTGCAAATAAGGAAAAAGAAAGTGACTTGGTCATGGTGACTCATCTACTAGGGTAGCAACATCAGAATGATCCAGGTCTTCTAACTTCATCTCTAAAAGTCAGCCCTCTATATTTGAATGAAACAAATATCTCAAATATAGGGGAAATTCTGCCTGTTCTTTGTATCTTTCCTGTCCACACAGTGTAACACACACACACACCCACACCCACACTCATGCAAAGCACCTCAGATATGTTGTTCTTAAATAGGATCATTTTTACCATCCAGAATACCTCGTGAAGAATAGAAGATTGAGCTATTCAGGTATTTCTAGTTTCAAGTAGGATCTCTGTGTAGTTTTCCAAGAAATTCTTATTCAATAAAGAACACAAAATTCTGTATTAAAAGTTTTAAGTGTTTGTAACACATAATGAAGAGTATGTGAACGTCTGGTTTTAGTTGAAAAGTAAGAAATCCCAAGTTTTGACATTTTTAATTCTAGTATTAAAATAGAGTCAACCATTAAATCTCTGCACAAATGAAGTAAATGATTACTGCATAGAATGAGAACAAAAAGTAATGTATTAACTTGATTAACATAGTATCTACACAGGGATATGTGACACACACGCCAATTCTATAAGGAAATTTGTCTTTGAAAGATGTTTACTTTTTATCTTACCTCCCTTGAAAATGATTTTAAAATTTGGGAGGAATTCCTTTTTGATACCTAACCAAATGTACCAAAAAGAAAAATAACCTATAAGGAAATTCACCGAGGCCAGATAAATAAGAAAAAGGTGTGAAGCTAATGAGTTAAATTCGCAAACTGGTAATTGAGGAAAGAAACAGTTGTATGACATTGTCAGCGGTCCTGCACAGTAAGCTCCAACCTGCTCTTCCCCTGTTCCAGGCCATGCAGGAGAATCAGCAGAACTCATGAGAACTCTCGCTGCAATCCACTCAGTCAGAAGGAAAATTGTTTTTTGATTTCCTTATGTTTTCTTTCATCTGACTGGACAGGAGTGGAAATGACCGCTAAGAAGAAACTGAGGGCCTGACTCTGATAGAAATGTAGGCTGTAGTGGAATTAGGGTAGCAGTCTGATGCTCGGAGGAATTCCTGTGTGTAATTCCTGTGTGTAATTACAACCTCCCACTACCCTGGTATAAGGTACTTAAATCTCAGAAGTGACAGTGTAGCCCAGGTGTTGTACAGAGATTGCATATTGCCTGAACTGGACTCCCTCCTTCCCCCATTATTCACAAAGCTATAGAGTGGTGTGGGAGAAAGTAGTCACAACCATAACTTAGAAGGGAAACCACACTCAATCTGGGGTACAGTAGAAAGGGTGTCCAAGAAGTCATCCATGCTACACTGGAACAAGTAGGATATCTGGACTGCCGACAAACCATCAGCTAGATAAAAAGAGTAAAAGCATGACATCTGTGCCACATATTACACGTGAAAAATGAGAATTGATAAGAGCATGTAAAAGACAATCACCAGGCTTAGAAACTAACTGTGCTTCATGCTGTGGAACAATTTCATAAGAACACCCCAGTAAAATAGACTAAGTGGTAAGATAGCAAAGTGAAGTCTAGAAGGAAATTGCAGGTTTGTACAAACAAATCAGTGAATTACCACCAACCCTTATCCTAGTTAAGCTGTTGAACTTCAAGAATAAAGGAAAAACAGCTCCTCAGTGATTCAGGTAGAAAAGGTGAGCCCCCACAAGGAGAAGAAAGCCAGGCTCCCCATGACTTCAGTGCCAGAATACAGAATAGCAATATCTACAAAACACTGAGGCAGAGGAACAGTATTAAACCCAGATGGAGAGCACAGATGCAAACACATGAGCCCTTCTTGAAAAGCTGCTTGTACAATCCAGCTAGCAAATATGTTTTAATCAAAATATAGAATGCAGGAATGGAGGTTCTATTATGAAAGATCCTGTGGTGAAGCTTGAATCCATTTAAACACAGCCCTGTGTTAGTTCTGTATAACTTAGGATTATAGATACTAGGACAACCAAAATTCTGATTCAGTAAGGTACGAGGAAGGCTTGGATATGTGTACTTAAAAAAGAAAAAGAAAAAACTCCATATGAGATTTTGACAATCCCTGATGTAGTATTTCAGTTCTGTTCCAGCCAGGATTATTATGGAGCCTTAGGACAAGTTATGATGTTTCCAGAGGCTCTTAATTTCTGCCTTTTTCAAAACTAAGGCAGGCAGACATTTAAAAGCCATTCTGACTGTGTTTTCTTTATGCATGTATTTATTTGATTTCTTTTATTTGACTCAGATCTCCTGGACTCAGAATTTCCAAGTTGAAAGGGTTCTCAGAAATCATTTAGTCTGATTGACCAAGCTATTTAGTGGCTAAGTAAGGATTAAAATCCAGAACTCTGACCTCTGATCTAAGAGATTTTTTGATACTGATGATTTGTATACTTGTCTTTTAGGTGACTACACTTCAAGATGAAAAGAATTCACTGGTTTCTGAGAATGAGATGATGAATGAAAAACTTGACCAGATGGATGGCTCTTTTGATGATCCAAATACAGTGGTTGCAAAAAAGTATTTTCATGCACAGTTACAACTAGAACAATTACAGGAAGAAAACTTCAGGTAGCATTTGTAGTATAAATTATTTTATAGAGTTCTATTAAACTAGTAGCTAAAAAAATTAAAATATCAACAGCTAATTATTAAGCATTGTTAAGCATGTTTAGGATACTCATTAAGATTCTGAAAATGCCAAGTGGTGTAAGTGCTTCCTTTCCTCATAGGGCTTACATTCCACATAGGCAAGTGGGATATGTACATAAAATCAAAACAATTCAAAATAATGTGTGATAAGGGCCAAATGAAGGCCCTAGGCAAGCCAATAAGAATTCAAGGGAGTGATTGCTGAAGCCTGGGGAAAGTAGGGAGTTTTCTCACATAGGAGAGGTAACCTAATAATAGATGGAAAAAATGTAAATCTTAAGCTAAAGAGGTGCTTTTCATTTTAACTTTGAATTTCTTCTTTTAAAAAAAGTCATACATTCTTCCCTTTAATAAACATTGATTGTCTCTTTTGTGCTTACCACTTGTGTCATAAGGCCTTGAGTGCAGGCATTCTAATTGTACACCTTTGTATACATTTTTATTACTTCATTTTGATGTAATTTCAGATTCACAAAAAAAGTTGCAAGAATAGTACAAGGAGAACTCCTTTATACCTTTTACTCAGATTCAACAATTGCTTTATACTTTTCTCCATTGGTTTTCATTTCTCTTTGGCGAATACCTAAGAATGGTATTGCTGGTCATATAGTAGGTCTATGTTTAATTTCAAAATACACTGATAACCTTCATTTTGATGTAATTTCAGATTCACAAAAAAAGTTGCAAGAATAGTACAAGGAGAACTCCGTTATACCTTTTACTCAGATTCAACAATTGCTTTATACTTTTCTCCATTTGTTTTCATTTCTCTTTGGCGAATACCTAAGAATGGTATTGCTGGTCATATAGTAGGTCTATGTTTAATTTCAAAATACACTGATAACCATTTTCCAAAGTCATACCATTTTTGAATCCCATCATCAGTGTTTGAGAGTACTAGTTGCTCTGCCTGTATAGCAAAATTTGGTCTTATAAGTCTTCTTAATTTTAGCTATTTCATGGGTCATGTTGGATATCTAATTGTAGCTTTAATCTGCATTTTCCTGATAACTAATGATGTGAAAAACCCTTTTTCATGTACTTATTGGCTATTTATACATCTTACTTTGTGAATTGTCTGTTTACACTGTTGACCTATTTTTAAATTGGGTTGAAGGAGATTTTTTATAAAATACATTCTGGATACAAATTCTTTATCAGATATATGTATAGTAGTAAATACTTCACCTATTCTGTGGCTTGCTATTTTTAAATGTCTTTCAAACATTTACACTAAATTATTGTTTTTAACTTAAATGAAATCTAATTTATCAATATTTTTAAGGATACTGCTTTTTGTGTACTATTTAAGAAGTCTTCACGTATTCCCAGGTCATGAAGATATTCTCCAATATTTTCTTATAGAACTTTCATAGTTTTATCTTTCACATTTAGGTCTATGGGCCATCTGAAATTAACATTTGAAAATGGTGTGATGTGTGGAGGTCAAGCTTTATTTATTTTTTTCCATGTAGGTAACTAGTATGTGGATATTTTTATATGGGTGTCATCAGTTGGAAAGATTTTTTATTTTACCCATAAAATTTCTTTGGCACCTTTGTGAAAATGATATAACCATAAAATTGGGGTCTTTTTTGAACTCTCAGTTATTTTCTGTTGGTGAATTTTTCTATCTTTATGCCTCTGTGACACTGTCTTGATTATTGCAACTTCACAGTATGTCTTTTGAAATCTGGTAGTGTAAGTATTCCAACTTCGTTCTTTTCAAAATTTGTTTTGGCTATTATAACTCATTTGCATTTTCACATAAAATGGAGAATCAGCTAGTCATTTTCTATAAAAAACCTTTTGAGATTATGATTTGGATTGGATATAGTCAATATCTTAACTACCTTGAGAATTCCTGTCTGTAAATATGGCTTCATTTATTTGTGTTTAATTTCTCTCAGCAATGCTGTTGATTCCAGCATAAAAGTCATGTATGTCTTTTTTTAATTTTAATTTTAATTTTTTTTTATTCCTTTTTGTCTTTTTTACTGACCGGTAACGGGATCGCAACCCTCGGTGTCGCGCCCGTACCGGGGACCGGCAACGGGATTGCAACCCTCGGTGTTGCGCCCACACCGCGCTCAGCCAGTGAGCGGGAACCGGTCTCCACATGGGATCTGAACCCTCGGCGGGAGCGCTGCCGCACTTCCAAGCGGCACACTCTCCATTGCGCCACCAGGCCAGCCCTATGTATGTCTTTTGTTAATTTTATTCTGAAGTATTTTGTTTTTTAATGCTATTACAAATATAATTAAAAAATATTCTGGGGCGGGCTGGTTAGTTCAGTTGATTATAGAGCATGGTATTATAACACCAAGGTCAAGGGTTCATATCCCCATACCAGCCAAAAAAAGATATTTATTCTGAAAATTTGTTGCTAATATGTAGATGTACAGTTAATGTTCATATATTGAAATTTTTATCTTGTATCTTGAAACTTAAATCTTGTGTATTGAAACTTTTACCTTGCATAGTTTCTTAATCAGTTATTGATTCTAGTAGTTGTTTGTTTACATAAAAAAGTCCTAAGGAATCTACAGTGATCCATCCATCCTTTGTTCCTGGTCTTAGGGGGGAAATATTCACTTACGTACCACCAAGTATGACACTAGCTGTAGAGTTTTTTCATGTGCTTTTTATCAGATTGAGAGTTCCCTTTTGTTTCTGGCTTGCTAAGAGTTTGTATTACAATTGGGTGTTGATTTTTATCAAATGACTTTTCTGCATCTTGAAAAGAATAGTTTTAATTTTTTTTCATTGTTTTGATATGTTGCTTGATATTTCGAATGTTAAACAACCTTGTATTCTTTAGATAAACCACGTTGGTCGTATTTCATTATCATGCATATGTATGACTGGATTCAGCTTGCTAATATTTTAAAATAATCTTTATAACTTTCTAATGTTAAACAACCTTGTATTCTTTAGATAAACCACGTTGGTCGTATTTCATTATCATGCATATATATGACTGGATTCAGCTTGCTAATATTTTAAAATAATCTTTATAACTTTCTACATAATAGATATTGGTCTAAAGCTTTTTTGTCCTGTAATGTCTTTTTCAGGTTTTGTTATCAGAATTCTGGTCTCATAGAATAATTGAAATGTGTTCACTCCTCTATTTTCTGAAGGAATTTTTAAAAAAATGATACTATTTCTTTCTTAAATGATACAATTTACTAATAACACAATCTGGGCTTGTGGTTTTCTTTGTGAAAGAGCTTTTAATATTTAATTTGTGTCTTTTTAGTTAAAATGCCTCTTGTAATTAGCATATATTTGAGCCTAACTTTTTTATCCAGTCCGATAGTTTCTGCATTTTTAATTTGTGAGTTTAGTCTGTTTACCTTTTATATAATTATCGATATGTTTGTATTTAGATGTATAAATTTGCTGTTTTTCATTTGTCACATTTGTTCTTTTGTTCCTTTTTCTTTTCTGCTTTCTTTTGGGTTAATCAAATAATTTTTAATATTTGATTTTAATTACTATATTGTCTTTTTCTTGTTGCTCTATGGTTTGAAGTATTTGTCTTAATTTATCACAAGCTACACAGAGTTAATGTTTCACCACTTTACATGCTATGTATATTTTAAAATAATTGTCCTATGTGCCTTACGCATTTTCTCTTGATTTTTTGAAATTAAAATTTCTGTTAGAACTATAGATAACTAAGCATAGTGTTCAGATGTGAAAATGAAAATTCAGAACATTGTTTGCATCTCATGTTCATTTCAAAATCAAAAGCTGAAAACAGTATCTTTAATCTTTCCTCTTTTGAATGTAGAATTAAAAAAAAATTTTTTTTAAATATGTCTTGCTAAGCTCATGTCGCAGTAGAAAAATAAATGATGGAAATTACATTACAAAAACTATTTTTTTTAATGTAAGGCTTGAAGCTGCAAAAGATGATTATCGTGTTCACTGTGAAGAACTTGAAAAGCAGCTGATTGAATTTCAGCATAGAAATGATGAATTGACTAGTCTTGCTGAAGAAACAAGAGCTCTGAAAGATGAAATAGATGTTCTTAGGTATGGCTCTTCTAAATACAATTATGTCACTTCTAAGTTATTCCTTAGTCAATTTAGATAATCCATATTTTAATCAGGGGTTCTTAGGTTTATCCCTGTGTATCAAATATTGGTCAGTTTTTATCCAAGCTCCTAGTCTTTACTTTTTTAATGCTTATTATAGCAGTTTAAGGATAATATTCAATTCCTGTTAATAAGTTTTACGTTAGAACTCATAAACCCAAATGAGACCTTTTTCTTAAAATCGTAAACTCAATTACTTGTAGATACATTTAGCTTGACCTCCTTGTACCCATTATCATCATATTTTGTGGAGTTTTTGTATAAGGAAATGTATTCTCACCATCAGTATTTTGGCATTTAATAAAATATAGATAAGAATCCTAATATTTATTTCAGGGAGAGTTATCTGACAATATAAAATTTATATATTAGCTTTTGCTTATGAAATGTTACTCAATTATCAGACCATCCACATGATCTTTATATTTTCTCTTCATTTTTCTTAATTAGCTATTTTTTGTAGTTTTTAATAACCATTTGAAACAAAATCTTTTCATTGTCACATGGATCTGCGTGTGATAATGAAGTAATTTTATCTATTTATTTATTTTTACTCTAACCCAGTTGGGCAAGTAAATGCAACTCTAAAGGGAAGTGCTTTACCAGATAACTTTATAAATTGAGTCAGTTTCCTAAGTAAATAAAATACCAAGGACAAAACTGCTAAAGGATTTATACTAAGCAAGGTTGGCCTGTAAACTTAACAGTAGCTCAGAATTCAATTGTATGTATAAAACCATTCTTTTTTATACATTGTGCATTCATTTTACAACTAGAATAAAATTGTTATATGCATTTACTAGTTTTTACACAGTAATATTTAGTCTTTATTATATAGGGCTACCTCTGATAAAGCAAATAAACTGGAGTCAACAGTTGAGATATATCGTCAGAAGCTACAAGACCTGAATGACCTTCGCAAGCAGGTGAAAACTTTACAGGAAACGAACATGATGTATATGCATAATACAGTCAGCTTAGAAGAAGAATTAAAGAAGGCAAATGCAGCACGTACACAATTAGAAACATACAAAAGGCAGGTAAGGAAATATTTTAATTTTTAATTGGTAAAATTGGAATAGCTCAATGTTATTCAATCTTTTAAGAATGGTGCAGAAATTAAGCATTGCATATAATCACTTGTGAACTTATGATGAATTTCTTCTATCTGTAATTTTAATTCAAGGGGTGATAATTGAATTTATTTAGGGCTTTTACCTTTTTTCTGCCTTCTAAGCTTGTGGAAGTTTTTCTTTTTCTTTTTTTTTTTTTACATTTTATTTTTTAATAGCATTTTTGGTAAGCAGTGATTGTAAATGCCTAGAGATTGGAGCTGTAACCTAAAGTATTCTATGTTACTATTTATCACACAACCTAGAGAAACATTGGAAGGCTGATTTTTAAATTTTTTGGCTCAATTATTGTATTGCGGGAGCCCCACATCTGAAAGGGCATTCGCGTAGTGTTTGCCTATTCCAAAGAATTCACCCAGGTTGAGACATCGGTTTATTAGACTTACGGGAGGTGCTGATGGCGGCTGGGCAGCTAGTAATCTGCACTGCCATAGGGTGCATACAACAGTTATATAGTGAATAGATCAAAGGAGAGGTGTAAATCATTTGCATGCTTATGTGTAGACCCTCACCTGACTCAGAGCTCTCAGGAGATCTGGCTGAGGAGATAAGTTAACCCCTCCTGGAGTTAACACTAGTATTCTAACTCCATTTACATGCTACTTCATTTAGCTTCCTACTGTCTTCCATTTGTCTTAAAGGAGACATGCCTTTCCTTGGGTAAAACTACCTTGGTCAGGTGTAGTTTCTCAGAGGAAAAGGGGAACTTTGGTGTGTACGGGGAGTGTAAAATAGGTCTGTGTCCCGCATTTACCTTACAGTTATTATTTAGGTATTTAAAATTTTATGTGAATTATTTTTATCTATATGCTATTTTCAACAAATATTTATTTTTTTTATTTATTTATTTTTTGTCTTTTTCGTGACCGGTAAGGGGATTGCAACCCTTGGTGTGGTGTCACCTGCACTGCGCTCAGCCAGTGAGCGCACCGGCCATTCCTATGTAGGATCTGAACCCGCGGTGGCAGCGTCGCTGCGCTCCCAGCGCCACACTCTCCCGAGTACGCCATGGGGTCAGCCCTCAACAAATATTTAGAATTAGACTGTAATTTTAGTATAAATATTTTATTTCTAATCAGTTTTCTCATATACTGAATCTGAAAGACGATCTTATTGTTTTTTTTTACTTTTGTTTCTGACAAAAGGTTCAGGATCTTCACATTAAACTTTCCTCTGAATCCAAAAGGGCGGACACGCTAGCATTTGAAATGAAGCGGCTTGAAGAAAAACATGAAGCTTTACTTAAAGAAAAAGAGGTAAATGTAAATATAATTGATAAGATAAGAAATATGTCATTCTTCTTTTAGCTTCCATACTACCCTTGCTGTTCTTACAGTAGTATTGATGTCAACCAGTTTTATCTTTTTGAAAATTGAAATTGTTGGTATAAAAGAAAGTCGTGTAAAATGAGTATCACTTTTTCACTCAGTTTTGTTAGTTTTACTCACAAGGGAAGATGAAATCACAGAGCCAAGGTCATAAGTCATAGTGTGTGTTTGCTAACTCTAGACTGTCAATTCCTTCAGAGCAAGGACCATAGATAAAATTTTTTAACGACTTTATTAAGATTTACATACCATAAATTTCACCCATTTAAAGTGTACAATTCAGTGGTTTTAAATATATTCACAGAATTGTGCTACCATCACCATAATTAAATTTTAAAACACTGTCATCATTCCAAAAGGAAACTCCATAGCCATTAGCAATTACTCTGCATTCTGGTTCTCTTCCTTTGGATACAAGTCCTTTGTCAGATATATGTTTGCAAATACTTTATCCCATTTTTTGTGTTGTTATCTCACTTTCTTGATGGTATTGTCTGCAGCACAAGTTTTTCATTTTGATGAGGTCTGAGTTATCTATTTTTTCTTCTGTTGCTTGTGCTTTTCTGGTGGTGTTTCTAAGAACTTAATGTGTAGCCTAAAGTACAGAGATTTACTCCTTTTTTTTTTTTTTAAGAATTTTATAGTTTTAGCTCTTATATTTAGCCTCTGATCCATTTTGTATATGGTGTGAGATAGGGATCTAACTTCACTCTTTTGAGTGTTGATATCCATTTGTCCCAATACCATTTGTTGACAAGATTCTTCTTTCTCCCATTGAGTTGTCTTGGCACCCTTATTAAAGATCAATTGACCGTGATACTACAATGGTGTCTACATATTATACATTTGTGAAAACCTGTAGGATGTGTAACAGAGTGAACCTTATGTAAACTATTGACTTTAGTTAATAATATTGTATCAATATTGGCTCATCAATTGTAACAAATTAGCACACTAATGCAAGATGTTAATAAAGTAAACTGGGAGTGCGGGGAGGGGGAGGGAGAGGGAATATATAGGAACTCTGTACTTCGCACTCAATTTTTCTGTAAATCTAAAACTGCTAAGAAGTCTAGTAATAAAAAATAAATAAATAAAATAAAGGTGAAAAAAATCGACCGTAAATGTAAGAATTTATTTCTGGTCTTTCAATTCTGTCATTGGTTTGTATATCTAGTCTTATGCTAGCACCACACTGTCATGATTACTGTAGCTTTGTTGTAAGTTTTGAAGTTGGAAAGTGTGAATTTTCCAACTTTGTTCTTTTTAAAGATTGTTTGTATATTCTGGGTCGCTAGCATTTCCATATGAATCTTAGGAACAGCTTACCAATTCCTGCAATAAAGGCAGCTGAGGTTTTGAGAGAGATTGCTTGAATCTGTAAGTCAGTTTGGAAACATTGCCATCTCAACAGTATTGATTTTCTGATCCATGAATGTGGGATATCAATTCCATTTATTTAGGTTTTTAGTGTCCTTTAGCACTGTTTTGTAGTTTTTCAGTGTACAACATTTACACCTTTTAAAAATTTTTTCCAAAGTATTTTATTTTTTTTGTTGCTATTGTAAATGAAATTGTTTTCTCAATTTCATTTTTGGATTTTTTATACATTGATCTTGTGTCTTCAGACTTATTGAATTTGTTTACTAATTCTCCTTGTCTTTAGTGGATTCCTCAGGATTTTCTATATATAAGATCAGGACATCTTCAAATAGAAATAGTTTTACTTCTTCTTTTGTAATACAGATAACTTTTATTTCTTTTTCTTGCTAAATTGTGCTGGCTAGAACCTCAAGTCCAATGTTGAAGAGAAGTGGCAAGAGTGGATATCCTTCTCTTGGTCCTCATCTTAGGGGGAAAGCATTCAGTTTTTCACCATTATGTATGATATTATATGTGGATTTTTTGTAGATATCCTCTATTAGGTCAAGAAGTTTCATTGTATTCCTAGTTTGTTGCATGTTGTTATCATGAAAGGATGTTAAATTTTGTTGTATACTTTTTCCAGATCAGTGAGATGATATGTGGTTTTTGTTCTTTATTAACATTAATATTTATTACTATCTAGTATTAATATATTGATATGGTTTATTACATGGATTTTCGGATATTAAACCAATCTTGCATTTTTGAGATAAATTCCACTTGGTCGTAATATATAATCTTTTTTAATATGTTGCTGGATTCAGTTTCATAGTATTTTGTTGAAGATTTTTTCATCTATATTATAGGGGATATTGGTTTGTAGTTCTCTTTTGAGGTCATTGCCTGGTTTTGGTACCAAGGTAATACTGGCCAGATATAATACGTTGGGAAATTTTCCCTGCTTTTTGATATTTGAGGAAAAGTTGTGATAATAGGTATTAATTATCTTTTAAGTATTTGATAGAATGCATAGTGAGACTGCCCAGGCCTGAGCTTTATTTGTAAGAAGATATTAAATTACTAATTGAATTTTTTCAGTTGCTATAGGTCCATTCAGATATTCTGTTTCTTCTTGAGTTAGTGTTAGTAGATTATATTTTTCTAGAGATTTGTCAAATTAATCTGTTATCTAATTTATTGGCATACAGTTTTTTATAGTTTATCCTTTTTATTTCTATAAGAAACAAGGGAATTTCTGTAAGCAGTGATATTTTTTCCTTCATTCATTATTTTTGTAATTTGATTTTCTCTCTTTTTTCTTTGTTAGTTTGTTTAGCCAATTTTAGTTTTTTTAGCCAGGTTTGCCAATTTTGTTAATCTTTTCTAAGAACGAACTTCTGGTTTTGTTGATTTCCCTTTTTTTTTTCCCCTATTCTCTAGTTTACTTATTTTTGCTCTACTCTTTACTAATTCCTTGACAAAAGAACACAAATTTCTTTGTTTTTAGTTTGTTCTTTTTTCTAGTTTCTTAAGGTAGAAAGTTAGGTTATTGATTTGGCATTTTTCTTCATTTTTAGTTTTGGCAGTTAGAGCTATAAACTTTCCTCTGAGCGCATCTTTTCCTGCATCCCATAAGTTTTGGCATATTGTGTTTTTGTTTAAATGTTCTCGGTTTATTTTTATGGTT